TGTTAGCTTCATTATTCTTTGTTAAAACACATCTGAAACGTATCATGGTAGTGCTGAATACCTGTTTTATTTGAAATGCATAATACTTTTTATGTTCTGAAAATGTTTCAAACTGAATGATAGTGAAACTGTAACTGTACAGTATGTTATCCAATACAACTTTATTAATTATCTCTGATAAAGAATCTATGGACGTTATTCTTAAAGTTCCATAATGTAAATTGTGGTGTTCGTAATCAGGCTTGTCACAGTTCAGCCACCACAGGGGAAAATCTTGAAGTTATGAAGGATATTCCAAAGAGAAAAAGCCATGCCTGACTAGCAACAGCAGAAAAACGTACATCGCGAAAGGCTGCTGTTGTGTGTGTATATATATTCAGCAGGACAATCTTAGATTAGTATTATCTAAAAAAGTTCCTGACTATTAAATTTAATGAGAGATTTTGGGGCAAATTATTTTCTTCACTCACGTGTCTTCACAAAGAGAATGGAAACCAACCTTATCCTCCTAGATGAGTATTTATGGTGGGGCACCCAGCGCGTGTAGAGACCATGTAGACCGCTCTTACAGGGTCATCTACCCTGCAGCTCTAGAGAGGAGTGAGTGGCGCACACAGCACCAGATGAGGATAAAAGAGCGCATGGTCCCTTGGGGACCATTGACAGCTGTGCACTTTAGAGTTAACCCCCAGGCTGCTCTAACTTGCATGGAGGGCCACACACAGAATCAGGGAGCTGAAACTGGCTCTGTGAATCTGGCTTTCCAGTTTTAACTGGAGTGAGCTGTGAAATAGGTGTCTGCGATGCAAATGAATTCTGTCATCCAGAGATAAAATAGAGGGTTGTTAACACATCTGATCAGACTCTCTGCATGAAACAGCCCTGAAGAGACCTCTCCAACCAAAGTAGTAAGAAATTACAGTCTTTAAATCTACCCATCACTAAGCTACACTGCACCATTGAGTGTAAGAGGGATGTATAAAAAAGGTAGTACAAAAAGCATGAAGTTAGTGCACAGATGCCTAGCTAACAGGCCACTACCTTTAAACCTTTTGACTTTAAACTTTTTCCTAGGAAGAAAGAGGACTTATTTCTTAAGGAACCATTGAAAGACTGCACTGTTTTCCTGAAGATGCAATATCATTTCAGAAAACCAACTCCAAGGAAGAAAGCAGCCCATTGAACTCTCTGCTCTCAGCTTTCTGGGTACTCTTGTGGAGAGACTGAATGTAATAAGCACTTTCAAAAAGCTTAGATTAAGTTAAATATCTTTCTTTAAGAAGGCAGCTGAACTTCAGAGGAAGACCAGTTTACTAATCTAAGAGTAAAAGTGATTACTAGGATTGTTTGGAACATCTCAGAGAGGAATAATACAACTAACAGCAAAGACAGCCTTCTTACGCAGTGATGTAAAGTAAGGATGGGAAAAGACTGAAGCTGTTTGAAAACTGAAGTACATAAGACTTGCTTCAAGAAAAGGAGGACTTGTGGCACCTTAGAGACTAACAAATTTATTTGTTATTTATTTATCTAAAATTATTTATTTATTACTTATAAGCTTTTGTGAGCTACAGCTCACTTCATCGGATGCATGCAGTGGAAAATACAGTGGAGAGATTTATATACACAGACAACATGAAACAATGGGTGTTACCATGCACACTGTAACAAGAGTGATCAGGTAAGGTGAGCTATTACCAGCAAGAGAGTGGGGGGGTGGAGACCTTTTGTAGTGATCATCAAGATGGGCCATTTCCAGCAGTTGACAAGAACGTGTGAGGAACCGTAGGGGGGGAAATAATTTTACTTTGTGTAATGACCCATCCACTCCCAGTCTTTATTCAAGACTAATTTAATGGTGTTCAGTTTGCAAATTAATTCCAATTCAGCAGTCTCTCGTTGGAGTCTGTTTTTGAAGTTCTTTCATTGAAGAATTGCAACTTTTAGGTCTGTAATCGAGTGACCAAAGAGATTGACTTGTTCTCCGATTGGTTTTTGAATGTTATAATTCTTGACGTCTGATTTGTGTCCATTTATTCTTTTACGGAGAGACTGTCCAGTTTGGCAATGGCAGAGGGGCATTGTTGGCACATGATGGCATATATCACATTGGTAGATGTGCAGGTGAACGAGCCTCTGATAGTATGGCTGATGTGATTAGGCCCTATGATGGTGTCCCCTGAATAGATATGTGGACACAGTTGGCAACGGGCTTTGTTGCAAGGATAGGTTCCTGGGTTAGTGGTTCTGTTGTGTGGTGAGTGGTTGCTGGTGAGTATTTGCTTCAGGTTGGGGGGCTGTCTGTCAGCAAGGACTGGCCTGTCTCCGAAGATCTGTGAGAGTGATGGGTCGTCCTTCAGGATAGGTTGTAGATCCTTGATGATGTGTTGGAGAGGTTTTAGTTGGGGGCTGAAGGTGATGGGTAGTGGCGTTCTGTTATTTTCTTTGTTGGGCCAGTCCTGTAGTAGGTAACTTCTGGCTCTGTCAGTTTGTTTCTTCACTTCAGCAAGTGGGTATTGTAATTGTAAGAACACTTGATAGAGATCTTGTAGGTGTTTGTCTCTGTCTGAGGAGTTGGAGCAAATGCGGTTGTATTGTAGAGCTTGGCTGTAGATGAGATTTGCTTTGTGTTCAGTCCTTATTTGAGACATGATTTTAGATGTTTATGAAGAGGAAACCAAAACACAAACTGAAGTCAAAGGTTGTGTAGTATCTGTACACTCATACTGTCAAATATTTCTTGATCCATTTGAAGAAAGAAAAAAACTGGTGTTGTGATTCATCTGAGTTTCCAGAAGGGGTTGGATTGTTGGTAGGCAGAATTATCAAAATCTTGTTTTGGACTTGTACATATACAGATATATATACACTAACAAAGCAAATGCATATTTATGTGTATAAAGGGAACTTTTAAGTCCACTTTTGTATTGGGGAAAAACTTGACATGAAAGAGAATTCTTGAAATAAATTGACTTTTTAGTTTTGAATTATACCAAGTTAATCAGAGTATAGGAAGGGGAACGGAAACTCTGTTTCCTTTGCACTTTAAGATAGTGACTCATGTGGAGTATGACACAGTATTCCTCTTTTGAACTTTAGTTGCCAAAGCATGAGATGTGTTCTATAGTATGCTGGGAACACCTTTCTTGTATAAATGGTCTGAAAATTAAATCAAATTTTTGGTGGCAACTTCTAATAAAGGCTATATTCTATTGGCATTTTAAATCAGCTGAAGTATTAAATAAATTAAATGGCTTTCCTTTTTTATGTTGTATTTTTTTAATTCTTCCTTCCTACTTCCCTCAATTTCTCTTTCCCATTCAGCGAACTGATGTTGCAGGAAGGGGGATACATGTTTGGCTCAGAATTGGTTGCAATCTGAAGCTGGATCTCTGCCTTCCTATTTCTTTCCCACCTCTCTTCAAAGAGTCATCTGGATTCACAACATTTACCATGCCGAACATTGTGACTGGAAATAGGCTTACATCAGAATACAGGAATCTGAATACTCCTGAGGTCTGGGAAAGCTGGAATCCAGATTTGAGCTTCATGACATGATTCCATCTCTAATTTTGACATCCAAAGTTTTGGACCTACTATGCGATGTGGGTTTCTCATCTCCTCCTTAGCTCTCTGCCTTGTCTCTAGACTAAACTGAGCCTTTGAAGGTTGGAAGAAGGCCTCTGCCTAGGCCAGGTTCCTGAAAGCTAACTTAAATTCCAGGCTAAGTCTTCTAACGGTGGAGCAGGCCTTTGCCAAGGTTCAACTCCCAAGCTTCACAAAGTCTTTCAGGGCTGGAGTTTCTAAGCAAGCATTTAACCAAGCTCCCAGCCAGAATCAATTAACCATCTCAGTGAGAGACCATTCTGTGATAAGCCCAGTTCTTCAAATACTCCTTCCACACTGCTCATCCCATAAACAGTGCTCTGCTCATGCGCTGCTTTTCCCTTTCTTTCCATGCTGTTTTCTCCCTGTTGTTCGTTTGATCGTCTGCTCCTCCTTTCAATACCATGTTATTGTTCATAAAGATGAAGAAATGGTGCCTATCACTCTCTCTCTCTTCCTCCCCCCCCACCCCCCTGAATCCACTATGGGAGCTGGAGATCTCAGACTTAAAACATTGGAATCAAGTCTGTGCTTTGGTGCAAGACGTGCTTACTCTATTTTGGGACTTTCATGTGTTTCCCAAGTCTCTGAATGTTATTGACTCTAAAGACAGGTCTCTAGACAAGTTTTTTCATGTAATCTAGTGGGACAGGGGAGTTTGAATGGCTTTTTCCACTGATTTTTGTGTACCTTTGGGTAGAATTACAGTAGTTAGTGATCAGGTCTTCACAGGTTCTCGGCTCCTGTAGCTCCCTTTAAGACAAAGGGAGCTGCAAGGGCTCAGCATCTCTGGAAAGCACATCATTAGTAGTTAGTCCCCAATTTATTTTTACCTGGTACTTGAAGGTTTATAGAATTACAGAAAAATATGTGTGGGATTTGTGTTTCTACCATTTCTCCTTAAAAAGTATCTGTTTCATTCTTTGGATGCTAGTCATATTCCTCCTATACAAGAACTTCTGGTCAAAGCTTTAAGGTCTTGTTAGGGTTCTTTGCAGCCCCCATCTCTTGGTGGATCAGAGAATGTATTTGTTTGACTTTTAAACGGCGGCAATAGAAACAATCAAGGAACTTGCGCAAAACCACCAGAATAGTTTAAAGAGAGAATTTTCTATATTCCTTCCTGTGACTCTTTTATAACACCATATTTCCTGATATTGTTTTTGGTTGTGATAGGGAGTAATTAAAGCAACTGAATAAATACATGCTGGATAATTATGCTGGTGCAATAAATGGGTAAAATCAAGGAAAGCTCTTATATAAGCTATACAGGTTTGTGGCACATACAGACATGTTTTTGTTGAATCTAAATAAGGAAGTGTTAGGAGAATTTGATATTAAATCCATGACAAAAATGTTTGTGAGAACTGAACTGTCTCTTTGCTTTCTGGTAGGTAGAGATACAATAGCAGAACACTAACAAATTTGGAGACTAGAGGGAAGATGTGATGTGTACAACAAAGAAGATTACAGGTAAGGAGTGTTCTCTTTATATAGGTGATTTAACTGAGCTTGGATATATCATACCTGATTTTAAAAAAAAGCAGTTGGACAAAATCATCTAGCCTGCATCAAGGATAATCATCAGGGAAAAGTGCAATAAATTTACCTACAGGTTAAAAGTAGTGGTTATTTAAATTCATTTTTTCATATTTATCTGTTTGTTTGTAATTCTGTAATTAGGATTTATCTGTTCATTGGGTAGGTCAAAAGTATTTCATTTTAAATAATTCCTTTCAAAGAGTATTTTTTGTTCAGTGTCATAAATTTGTCAAGTGTTCACTAAGAGCTAAAATTGAGAGTGATACATGCTTGGAAACTATACTAATTTATTGAATTTCCATTACTGTCCATAAAACCAGTTCCTTGTTTCAAATGATTTTGCAATGTGTTAGCTGTTATCAGTGAATGATACAGGTGGTTGGAATTTCATATCACTACTGTATATGAAGAGTATTCTGAAGCCTGAGATCCCTTTCTAGTGCTATTTTATTTGAATGTGTTTTGGTTCATAAAACAAGTGAGTGGCTTGAGCAAGTATTTGGTAACCCAACCAACACATCTACATACAATATTGTGGGCATATGGTAAAAGGACACTGTGTAGAGTGATGTACAAAATGTATTCCTGTCCCCAGTTTCCCATTTCTTTTACTATACCTCTCTTAGTTTGAGCAGTAATTTCAGCCTATTTAAATACTGCAGCTTGTGAGCTGGTTGACCCAGTAAATTGTGGATGCTTAGATTTGTTACAATGTCTGTGTTCGTCATACATTTCACAGGATCCTCGGCAATACTTTGTCCACTAAAAAAAGGATGATGTAAAAAGGCCTTCATAATTCCCATTTAAATCTTTTAAAATATCTGTGTTGGAAAACATTCAAAATAATCATTTAATTTGATGGTGGTCCAAAAAATGGCCTGTTAACCACATTCCTTCTAAATCATTAATGGTTTGTCAATTTAAGGAAGATCTCGAGAAAAAATTCCCGAAATGGTGTATTTAATTCTTGCAGAAAAATCTATGGAGCATGACTTTATACATTGATAAAACTCTAAAATCATTTGTCCATGTTTGTTGAAGTATAGGAGAATATGTGGATTCTCAGATGTGCTCAGTGCTGGCCTAATTCTGCTCCCTTTGAAGTCAATAGTGAAAAATCCTAAGATTTTTTTTTTCCTTTTTTTTTGCTTGATATGTTTTATATGTGTGTGGTCTATTTATTTATAAAGCTTGGTACCTGTTTTTTTTTTCCTTTCTGGCTTTCTGTAAACTTAAAATTTAAAAGTAGTTTGAATTAAAAGTCAAATGAATACTACTATAGAAGGAAAGATGCTGAAGTTTAAAGGAATCAAGCAAGCATAAGGCCATGCCTAGTCTGATGCCAAATACACACATAACATACTCTCACAAAATCCATTTGCACTAGTTGACATGAATCAGTGCAATCCTGCAAGTTGTATTGTTGCCTGCCTAAGTCTATTGAGAAATCATTTATCTAATTGGATTTCTTACACAGCTTGAATTCTTGGGTCCCCTTATCTGAACCAGAGAGAGAGAGAGAGAGAGAGAAGTTCTGAATGAAAGATTGTGATTTTTCTTGAAAAAAACACTAGATGGCATTTATTGCAGTGGAATAAAATCCTGCTTCACCAGGCAGAATTCAGCATATACAGTAACATTTTAATAATGAGAAGCGATCTCTTTCTTAGTTTAATTTGTTAATGGTTGAGTAAACAAGTGGTTTCTGGTAGTTGACTGATATATATTCATAGAAAGAGACTTGATTGCTTGTTGGAGTGAAGGTGTTGTTTAAATTGCTTTTCAGTATCATATGTTTTAAAGTGACCTATATTGTGCCCAACTAATTTCAAATATTACTTAAGATTGCTTTGAAAATGTTTTGAAGGCAGTAAAACCTCAAAGTAATACAGCTGTTAATAGTTGTAATTGAAATGAACAGATGCACACATTTGCAGACTTATTTTCCAATAATTTCCCTGTGTAGAAGAGATCCTACTATCCATTTCTGATAAACTTTAAAAGTAGTTAGCATGGTGCATTGGAAAAAGCACTTTAAAATATAAGAAGTGAACATGGGAATATAAGAGTTGCCAAACTAGATTAGACCAATGGTCCATCTAGTCTGGTATCCTGTCTCAGAGTGGATACTCTTAGATGCTTCTAAGAAAGTTGATAAAAAACCCATAATAAATTTTCCATAGAATAAGTTTCTTTCTAATGCCTGTGAGAGGCTGCCTTATGCCATGAAGCCTAAAGTAACTGAGGATGTCTTCATTATCCATATAAAAATTACTAGTCTGTTTTTGAATACTACTAACTGAGCTCTTAGTCTTACTATTTATTACTTGTTTGGTGGCAGTAGCTAGAGGCTAAAGATCAGGCCTCCTTGTGCTAAGCACTGTACACACAGGGACTAGTGAAAAGACAGTAGTGCGGGGTAGCCAACCTACGGCCCTGGAGCCACATGCAGCTCTTCAGAAGTTAATATGCAGCTGCTTGTATAGGTACCGATTCCAGGGCTGGAGCTACAGGCGCCAACTTTCCAATGTGCCAGGGGGTGCTCACTGCTCAACCCCGGCTCTGCTGCAGGCCCTGCCCCCACCCCTCCCCTGAGCCTACCATGCCCTCACTCCACCCCCCTCCCCCCCCCCGCAGAGCCTCCTGCACGCATGAAACAGGTGCGGGAAGGGAGGGGAAGGCACTGATTGGCGGGGCTGACGGTGGGCAGGAGGCACTAGGAGCGGGGTGGGGGAGCTGATGGGGGGCTGCTGACAAATTACTGTGGCTCTTTGACAATGTACATTGGTAAATTCTGGCTTCTTCTCCGGCTCCGGTTGGTCATCCCTGTAGTAGTGCCTTCCCCAAAGATCTTACAGACTAAGCCTCAATGACATCTTGCAACATGAGTTCTATAGATTGTGCTACATATAAATAAGAGGATTTATTTATCAGTTTTAAATTTGTTGTCTTTCAGTTTCATTGGGTATCTTCTTGTTCTTGTCAGAGAAGGTAAATAGGAATTCCCAATATACCATCTGTATACCATTCAGTATTTTATTTCCCTCCATCACGTCTCTCCTCTTTCCCCCTCTTCTCTAAACTAAAGCAGTCCCAATCTTTTCAGTCTCTTTTCATATGAAAGCCTTTCCATGCCTCTAACTTTCACAGCGCGCGCGCGCTGCGCTCTCTCGCTCTCTCTCTCTCTCTCTCTCCCTCCCTCGCTCCCTCCCTCCCTCCCTCTCAAAATCCTTTCTATTCCTACATTGATTGATGAATAGGGTAGCCAGAACTGAACACAAAACTCCAGGTGAGTGCGCACTGAAGTTATCGTATTTTCTGTCCCACTGCAAGCACATCGTAAAATTTTGCTAGTTTTTTGATGGCTGCTGCATGTTGAGTAGGTGTTTTAATTGACCTTCACAATGACACCCAGATATTTCTTCAATGTTTACAGTTAATTTAGCATTGAGAATAAGTAGTTCAGATTATTCCTTGTATTGTGCATTACTTGCATTCATCTGCCATTATGCAACTTCCACACTGATAGGTGGAAGAAAAAGATGAGCTACTAAGCCCTCTCTCTAGTTTCTGTAGTCTGCCATTTGGGGATTTAAATTTCAGTGGTTTGAACCCTTTTCTTGAATACTATCTCAGTAAGATAAATTATCAGATTTCAAACTGACATTATGTAACAAATTGTTATGGGATATTTGGGTCATGTGAGCAAAGTAACAAAGATAGATATTTGTGCTTTTTCTTTCCCTATAGTTTGAGCTACTGCAATATTAATTTAATATTAAGTTTATGCTGTCAGTGATTGGAGCAGAAGCCTCTCATGTGTCTAATATAAAATTATTACCGGCACAAGGAAAATGGGACAGCTTTCAGAGTCAGTCCTCCCCTCTTTATGCATATATACTGCATTCATTGTTGTGCTAAGTGAGCCTCACGTGGGAAGGAGGAGATGAAGCAGAGTGAAGACAGTATGACAGAAGGCAGTATCGACAGGTGTTCTCCCTCTATTCCAACAGAAACCACACATACATGCATTCTCTCATAGTGCGAAGCACCATAGAGTCACATCACCATGAACAGTAAACACAACAAATGGGCATCATTAGAGGGTAGACTTCCTCCACATGTCACTGTTTCACACAGCCTTGAGATGCGCACCATATCGCATCCCGTCCAGTTAGCCACATTGTTGACTCATGCTCACTGCAGGCGACCTCTGTCCCTGGCACCAGTGCTTGCAAATCTCGCTTCTGAAATCTAGGAGACCACACACAAGGTAACAGTTCTTTGGCCACCCACTTGTTTTTATCCTCCAGGAAGCTGGAGCTATGAAGTGGAGTTCACAAATACTTTGAGATGTCATAACCAAGTTTACTATCTTATTTATTTGTTTAAAGCTAAATAAATATCTATTGGCAGCTCGCTGGGCACTTACAATACTTAAACTGCACACAATAGTCAAACATATTAAAAGGCATTCCTAAAAAGACTACCTCAGTTCCAGAATCACACTGCCTTTTATTGATCCCATAATACCAGCCAAACCCAGTCCACCCCTTATTTCTGGGGAAAAAATTGGGTAACCAGGAGAGTCTTGCATTATTCTCTGAGGTTATGGTGGATCATGGTAGAAGTGAGTTGCAAAGCCTAGAACCACTGGATGAGAATGTACTACTGTTCAAATTAGGGATTTTTAAAAGCTGTTGTGTGCTTCAGATGATCCCCAGTGCTGAGGCAACAACCAGAACCTTAAGTGTGACCTGGAAATCATTTTGTAGATAGTACAGATTATTGAGAACTAATGCAAAGCAGTCCCTTCAGAAAATACCACTTAGAAAGTGTCTAGACTGGATCTGTCCTAGCTCTGAGTTTCTGAATGGCTTTAAGATCTAAGCATTTCTATTTTAAAGTATATTTTAAGATTAACATTATCT